AGTATACACATTCTTGTGGTGTGTGTGTGTGTGTGTGTGTGTGTGAGCGTTGCGCATTTTTTATAATGTTTGCTGATTAAAGCAGAAATCCCCTGTGTGGCCATGTGCACTGTGCTGATACAGTATTTGTCTTTTGAGAGGCTTGATGGTGCTGTTACTACTGCTTCCAGTTGTGTGCTCTAACGCACTGAAATTATAGCCCTCCATTCATAAGAAGGGGGGATTTCCTGTTGAGGACCAGCACTACTGTCTCAATAAGCCCCTCAGGATGAGAAACAGACACACACACACACACACACACACACACACACACACACACACCACGCTTAACAGCAGTTTTAAAAGAGTTCTCTGTCTCTCACACACAATCAGAATTTCTGAGGTAGACTCACTTAAAGGCGAGGAAGGTCTCTGAGATGCTGCCACGTTGTAGTCTTGGTCTGCATAGCACTATCATATCTTGATTATATTAAAATTAAAATCCTCACACACACACACACTCCCAGTGGCGGCATGCCAAGTAGGGCAGGACAACACTGGGGGGACGAGGCATGGAGGTTATTTGGCAATAGGAGGATGGGAGCAAAGCAAGCCCCCGACAGCAACTAGCCCATCACTCTGAGGAAGAAGCTAGCTGTAGCCTATCACCGGGGATCACTCTGTAATGTCAGATCGGGGGCAGCTGTAGTCTAATTAGAGATGCAAGATTATGTCTGGAGGACGGCCTCTTTAAATCCTGGTGGGGAGGCAGATAAATCACTTTCCTCTCCACCAGTAAACGCATATTAAGGGCAGCCAGCACCATGTTTATGAAACTAGGTGGTGCTGAGTAGGATGGACTGCTCATGGACTAAAGACCTCCATGATTGACAGCGATTTGTGTCTGTGTCAAGACAGTTTAACTGAGAAAATAATTCAAATAATGGCATGTGAAATATTGTACAGAAAATGAACATAGAAATGGATTTCAAAGTGAAATGTTTGTTTCATTTTTGGTATCGGAATGACTAAACATAAATCAAGGGCGGCTTCCCACACATGCCGGAGTGCTGTCAACATCTCCTTGTGTCGTTTACTGTTTTAATTATAGAGAAGAAATTTCATTGCTTCCTAAAGTAATTATCACAAAAGACAACTATAGACAGCCTTTTTCATAAAGGTTTACATTTTAATTATCCAAATACTAAGCAGTTGACTGTATATTTCAAACCTTTTTTGCATTCTAAATGAAGGTTTTTATACCATGTTTATTCTAACACTGTCTCTGCATTGCTTTCTCGAACAACAAATGCTCGGCTGCTAACAATTCTATTCTTTTTGTATTGTTATTCTTTTATAAAAGAAACAAGATGCAAAAGCTCCCTGAATGTGCCTTGATGTACCACAACCAGTTTTTAAAGCAGGCTTGCATAAAATATCCAGCCTGTTGAGAAGACCAGGTTGAATATACTCCACACTGTTGCTCACGGCAGATCACACTCAACATTTGAGGCCTTGAATGTGTCACTCCAGAATCAGCCTTGGGTGTATACTGTACTTAGATATGTGGACATAGTTTTTACACTCACTCTGACAGTTAACAGTTAGATGGTCTGAGAGTGAGGTTTCATGTGTTCATTCGGTTGACCACGAGTTCTGTCTTAACTACTGTAAGAGGAGACCCCTTCTGCAAATAGACTTCAAATAAATAAATCTGACTCGAGCTTCATATCATGTCGTATCGGCAGCATTCTGCAATATATGAAATATTTTAAATCAAACTCTGGTTATTATCTCAAGTTCTCCATTGCATTTCTTAAGCTCGTCAGTGTTAGCCTTCTAACCGTCACATAGCGATCCTTCTCTTAGAATTCAAGGTTAGCCGGTAGGGTTTCTATGGAATTTTAACTGCTTGTGCAAAAGCTCTATAGCCAGTTCTTCACATCAAGGAGACTCGACTCTGACCTCGAAGAGGAGAACTGACTGCTTTCAGGCCTCTTTTTCTATGTACGATGTTAATTTAAAAGTCCTTCCTGTCATTTGAGAAAATATATTTCACCTTGTGGCGAGGCTATCTGGGCGAAGGGAGCGTGTGCATTTGCATTAGCCGCTAGTATACCCCTGGGTGGTTCTGTGTATCCGCCACAGCAGGGTGGAACAGGCTGTGTGTGTGTGTGTGTGTGTGTGTGTGTGTGTGTGTGTGTGTGTGT